ATATACTAGAGGTAGATAGAAAACCATATTACATTGTTAACCGTTGTTAACCATTGCCTCTGGGTGCCAGTATTGTAGAGAATTCATTTTCTCCTTTACAATTTTATGAAACCTGCCAATTTTTTCACTATAAACATTTGTGATTAGAAAAACAAAAGCTGTGGATAAAGAATATTTTATCTTTCCTTCCCCTTTAAGGCTCAGAGGAAGTCTCTGCACTGCCCAAGGCCGCTCCTACAGTAACTCTCCAGTGTGGTGCTTGGCGCACAGTCAGTGCAGATCAGTGTTTAGTCCTTGCTTCAGGTACATGTGGCAGCTCCGCCAGCTCCTTCTGGACACAAAACATCTCCTTCTACTGAGCCCTCCCTTCCCCTCACTCTGCTTGCTGGACCTCCTCTGCAGAACATGCCTGGCCTGCTCCCACCCTGGGCCTCCATACTGTGCTTCCTCAGCCAGCAGCCCCTCCGCAGTCCCCCTAGAAAGCTTCTGGGCCCCTGCTTATGGCCTTCAGTTGTGACTCAAATGTCACTTCTCAGGGAGGCTTTCCCTGACCAAGCTGTTTAAAATTGTATACCTTTCCAGCATTCCCGTCCTCGTCTGGCTTCATTTCTCCTTATGACATAGCTCATCAGCTATCTGCTTCCACTAGGATGTAAGCCGTATGAGGGCAAGGGTTTTTGTCTATTTTGTCCTCTGCTGTAATCTCACCACCTATATGCATGCCTGGCATATAGAAGATGCTCAACAAATGCTCACTCATTTGTTGAATGAATGAATACATTTTATAATAACAAGAGTTACCACATACCAGCTGCTGTGGTAGGTGCTTTAGTAATTGCCTCATTTAGTTCTCACAGTGTTTGAGGTAGGTAGCATTATCTTTACTTTAAAATGAGAAAACCAGAGCTCAGAGAGGTTAGGTAACTCAGCTGACACCACATTGCTGTCACCGAGAAGGGGACTTGCTGAGAAGGGACTGGAGTGCAGATCCGCCTGCCCCAGTGGCCAGGAGCTTTCCATTTCAGGGCTCCTCTATCTTTATGGTTTGGGTATGTGGCTGTCCCTCTGTCCCTCACAGTGCTTGATACCCCACAGGTCTCCCGAGTCTCTCTTAGGCTGAGGCTGCTTATCCCCCTGCACTGATTTCTGCACCGCATGGAGCGCAGGGCTACTGCAGCAGGGCTGCGAGGTGTCTCTGCGGTACCATTCCTCAACAGTGGGCTCTCTCCCAATTAGGGTCCCTACAAATGGAGAAACCAACTTGCCCCTATCTTCAGCCTGGGTGCTCTAGGCTGATATATAATAAAGGAGCAATGCCAGAGGTTCTCTTTTCTCCCCTCTCAGCCCTAATTTTTCCAACAGGAGGTTGGTTGCTTTCTAAGTACCCTCTGAGGACCAGAAGGTTGGAATACCAGCAAGATCTCAGAAGATTCACGTTCAAGTTCTGGGTCTGCCGCTCACTAAATTATGTCATGAACTTAGCCAAGTCATTTAACTTGTGCACTGAAAAAATGGAAGGAATTACTCTTTCCTCATGGTTTCCTTATAGTATCTTAATGTTGTCAAATGTTGAACCTGCCCCACAGGGCTGCTGTGTAGGTAGGTGGCATGAGACAATGTGGTTATCATACTTACACAATGCCCGGTACATAGGTTTAACAAATGCTGGCTGCTACTGTTATTGGTCAAGACTGGTGAGGGAACTGGGCAGAGTCTCAATCAGGTGTTAGGATGGGGTGTGGGGTGTGGATTATGTTTGACCCCTACTCCAATCATCCATTAAACTATTTCCTAGATCTTCAGTCCTCAGACTGAATTTCCTTGTTCAAGGTCACACAGTGGACTTTTAAAAGGCCTTGATTAGAACTTTTCAGAGTATCTAACCTCCTTAGTCACTACGCTGTTTCTGCTGGGAGGTAATTGTTGTCATCTCTGCTGGGCGGCACAATTTGAGGGATAATTTGCACAAGTATCAGTTGGCACCATGACCAAGCCATGAAGCATAATTGCCTCAAGTGGAAACTGTGATTGAGCCTGTGAATTGAGGCCTGATTTGCAGGGACCGCAAATGAGCTGCCACCTCCTGAGCACTATGTGCCTGCTGGATGCTGGGTCTGTAATCAACCTAAGCCTGTTTCCAAACACCCGTTCTCCAAGTTCCTGTGGGTCAAAAGTCCTGACTCTGGTGAGTGTCATGATCCCTACAGAGTCTGTGGCTGAACCGAGACTTTCCCATTGTCCAAGACATGATTCATAGTTTTCAAAGGAATTTCCTTCACTGGCTTTGCTTTCTAGTTGTACTATAGTAAGTATGATTTGGAGTAATCCACCTGCCATCACTCCCTCAACGAAATCCTCCCCACCCCAAACATACATACAGTGTTTCACTCAGCAAGACTTAGTTCTGTTTGTGTCTAAAGGGGAAGGAGACCGGGGATCCAGGCCTTCCTTCTCTTTCATGTGAATGACCATAAGCAATGAGAGAATTCATCCCTTGCCCTTATCATGGCCAATGTCTGCTCCATGCATAGGCCCAGAGGCTACACTCTACTACTTCTGAGAAGTTGATGATGGCATCTGCGATGGGAGGTCTTTCATCCTGAGGCAAGGGTATGAGCCCTGCCAGCCCTTTGTACCATCTGGAAATAACCCTGGGAACCGTATTTGCAGGTCCACAAATGTTATTTCATTATTCCATGACATGAAAGACTAATTTGAGGCTTAGTGGAGACAGCAGACTAAAGATTGAGGAAGCATGGCCTATAAGGGCAAAACATGCTAAGTTTGAGCAAAAGTACACATTCTACATGTAGTCAGCACTCTAACATGGGGAGAGTTGCCAGAGCTGGGATCAATGTTCACAGATAATTCACCAGTTTTATTTTAGCCTCATCTTTACCCTCCTGCAGGCCAGCCAACTTGTCATAATTACTTTGCTATAGCCCTTGTTTATATCTTCAGAGACAGAGGTGTCTGAAGAAAGGGGATGCGTCGGGAAACAGATGACCAAAGTGTGGAAGGAGTCTCAGCAAGGAGGATATGTAAAATAGTGAAAAGTGTGGGCTTTTGACTCACTCAGACTTCAGCTCCAATTCTTGTTCTGTCATAGACTATGTGTGAGATCCTTATAGCTTCTCTGAGTCTGTTTACTTTGTGTAAAATGGAACAGGCGGCATCTATCCTGTAAGACTGTTACACAGCATACAAAAGCTGGCTCATCTTAGGTATTGAATGCTAAGTATTACTATCATGAGTATCTGTAAAATAGAGATATTTAGTAATATCTACTTTGTGATATGATTGTGAAAAGTAGAAAAAAATGCCTTTGGCCTATGGCAATGTTTAATAAATGGCACCGTTGTTAGTCCTTTCTTTGCCGCGTACATACGCGTTTGATCTTGAGCAAACCCACTTCTGCCATCAGTAAAACGGGGAGTATTTCTAATCTACCTCATTATGACAACTGCAGTGGCAACTGGAGATAATCATACATACCTCACTTGTTCCTTGGAGTTGTGGTAACTAATTGAAGGCCAGGAATGGGGAACAATATGCTAGAATGCAATACACTGGACTGTGGGGCAAGAGACTTGGGTTCTAGTCTTGGTACTATGTTTTACCAACCAAATAGCTTTAGGCAAATCACCTGGTTAATTTGACCCTTAGGTGCACATACTCCTGACCTCCCAGCCACTGTGAGAAAATACAAATGTGAGACATTATCATCATTATTGCTCCTTGAGGGCAAAGCCAGTCTTCCCATTTTAATAACTTTGGTACTTAGCAAAGTTGTTGACACATAGTGGACACTCCATATTTTTGCTTGTTTAATGAATTATAAACTACCCAGAAGTTTTATTTTTAATCATTTTTGAACTTTTTTTGCCCATAAGCTGATAGCTTTTGGTCCCAATCTGATTTGTTGGATCCCTGGGCCTATGTCCCCAACTAATTTGTATTCTATGCCAACCTTAACATACTCAGAAATGTTATTTGGACACAATTGACAGCACAAAAAAACTGACATTAAAGAGAAAAGAAAGCAGCTCTTCCAGTTATGGCAGCTGTACAGGGAACCCATCTCTGGTTTGGGTATCACTCCTCTAAGTTCCCTATTATTCTGTGTACCCTCTTTACAGGATTTACCCCCACACTGAAGATGGTAGGCACTGCAGAGGCCAGAGCTGCTTACAGATGACTCTTCATGGGTAGTAAGAATGTGAGGGATGCCTTACAGGTCTCCTCCAAATGGGAGGTGGCAGGTAGAAAGCAGCAGGTAGAAACATGGATGAGGGCACTGGGCTTGCTTGTGCCAGGGGAGGGAGCTTGAAGTAGAACTCCTTGGTAGTAGGAGACATTGTATCCTCCAACCATACTACATAATATTCCAGAACTGTTACACTATTTGATCCCTGAGGAACGTTGTAGAAGTTGAGAGAAGGGAGATGGAGAGGACCAAAATTCTAATAGTCACCATCTTTGTGCACTGTAACAAACTGCCCTGGAACAAGGGCACTGGCAAACGTGGGGTGTTTTCCAGATTTGTTATGTACCAAGTCTTCTCCCCATGTTATTGAGGAGGATCTGTGATCTTAAGTCATTTTTAATACCATCCCCAACCCCTAGCTTCCCCACTTCCATCTTCTTCCTCTAGTCCTTACCTTCCCCTCCCCCAAACCCTGACTAAAGCTAACCTCAAGCAAGGCTCACCCAATCACACCAGATGGGTTAGGTGTCCCTTTGCAGCCTTCAACTCACTGCACTGTAATTTCTGGTTGATTTACTTACTCTCCAATTCTGGAAAAAGTAGGACCTTTATCTTGTTCAGCATTCTATGCCCCAAACAGTGCATCACAAAAAACAAGATGCTCAACAAATGTTTAATTTATTAAGCGTACCAGGATATACTTCTAATTTATCACATTTTATTTTTTCTCTTGATACTAAGATACCTAAGCAAATGGAGGTACATGTCAATCTTTTTTTTTTTTTTAAATATACAATAGACAAAAAGTGTTGGGAGGCTAGACACCAATTATTTTTTTCCCTGGTACTAGATCATCATACTGCTGAGTTCCTTCAAATCATTAAAGTACAGCATTGCTGCATAATCTGTTCAAAAATCACAGAATAAAATGCAGTTTTTCTATCCATTTTACAAAACCAGCAAAACTCTACAACAAAATCCTACAGAAAAAAGTAGACCAGTATCAGTTATAAACAGCATTTTAACAGTATATTAAATATAACAAAACGTAACAAGATATAAAACCTAAATCCTAAAGTTACACCATTTCTACAGAAATAACGACCCTCGCCCCACCTATACTACTTATAATTCAGACATAGCTTCCATAACCACGGCCCCCCCCCCGCTGGCTACCTTTTCACCAGCGGTGAACGGTGGCCCTAGCATTGGCCCTGGCCCTAGCCCTCATACTGGCCTCAGCTCTGGCCTTGGCTCTGGCCCTGTCGGCCTCGTCTGCCAGGGCCTCACCGTACTGCGCTGGCCAGTGTTGGGGTTCTTTCTTATGGAGCTTGGCCACGAACCCCAGGACTTTCATCTTGCTGATTTCCAGGTTGCTTCGGGGACCCCAAGAGAATTCATATTCCGGTGGATTGGAGTGAGGCTGTCTCCTGTAATTGAGGTATCGCTGCTGAACAAAATCTTCCATAATAAGCCTCTTCGGGTACCCAAAGAGAAAGTGATACTTTGAGGGATGCACCCCCAACCGACGCAGCATCTCCCAGACCTGGGCCTCCCTGGCGCTATTACCTTTCATGTAGATAAGTCCCAAGATCATCATTAAGAGACCCAATTTGGGGCCATCTCCTCCCAGATCCTCCTTCTCCTCCTCCTCAAGAGGTTTTAGTTTGTTGATCAGGATATAAGTGTGGTGCTTGCGGTCAAACTGTTTCAGCCGGAAACCAAAAACATACCGCAGATGCTCTGCGGCCCTTGCGATGATCTCCGGGAACAGAGCCTTCAGGTCTCCAATAACGTATTTCACCATCTCGGAGCGGGTGATGGGACTCTTCTTCTTGTCTTTCACCAGCAGGAACTGCACCAACTCCGCCACCGTCCGATTCAGACGGCGGTAGGCCCTGCGCCGGGCCAAGGCTCTGGCTGCCAAGGCCCTAGCGCCTTTCCGGGTGAGGGCGGGCTCCGCAGATCCCTCCTCCCTCACGGAGCGGAGGTCCTCCTTGGGGCTCTCCTGCAGAAGGGGGCTCGGGGCCTCCTCCTGCGAGGCGGTCAGGGCCTGGGGCTCACCATCATGGCCGCCATCCTTCTCCCCCTTGGCCTGAGGCACCGGGAGACCCCCGCTCTCGGGTTTCTGCAACATGTTTTCGGGCAGGCAGGTGCAGAGCGCGTACACCGGCCGAGGGGTGTTTGAGCCACTGCGCAAACCCTGGCGGAGGGGTTGGACAGCGGCCGGGGCGGCGCGAGGAGGACTAGGAACGGCAGCAGAAGGGCCTTTGTGGCTGCTGGGTGGCACCGAACTGGAGTCGGAACCGCTGCCGCAACGCCGACAGCGACCAAGACCTGCGGCGGGGCTGCCGCGCAGCCTCAGTCCGCGCCCGTACGCCAGGCCACTTCCGGCCACCTCAACCAAGATGGCGGCCCCGGTGCGGCGCGAAGCCCCTCCTCTTTCTGCTCCTTCTGTGGTGGGGGTGTGCTCGGGCTTCTGTTGATGGATGGGGATGTGGGGGAGCGTGCGCCCTGTGCTGCTCTTTAGGCTGGAAAAGCTGGGGTAGGCGGGGAGGGAGGAAAGCGGGGGAATGTAACTAGGGCTTTCCAATCCAAGGCATGCCGAGTGGAGAATGTTTCAGTATACAAGGGATGAAACAGGGATGGAGTTCTAGCCACGTTCTTTCGGCAAGTGCTTATTTCTAAGTGTGTATATCTCAGATTTTGAATGCTTTACTGTGGCTCAAGCGCAGAGTGCATGGAGGCTGGGAGATAAGGCTACACGGGCCAATTAGCGAAAGGCCTCTAACAGGGTGCTAGGGAGATTGAAATTTATTCTGGACGCAATGGGAAAATACTACAGAGGGATTTAAGCAAGGGAGTATCTGGGCCAGAACTGTGTCTTCACGTTCTCTGTGGTGGAAGTGTGGAGGATGGATTAGAGTTGGGCCGCCCCAAAATTGGAATCCAATTCAGAGAATTATAGTGCAGAATAGGAACGGGGACCTGGCCTGTTCACTGGGGTACATCCCCAGTACCTAGAGCGGTGACTGGCACATGGCGGCATTCGATAAATATTGTTCAATGGATGATTATGATGAAGTCGGGACAGCAGATTTTACGGGGATGAGAGGAAAATGATACACTGAAGAAGTATAACTGGCAGGAATGGTGACTGGTTGGAGGAAAGGGGAAATTTTTTGCCCTAGTCAAACTTAACTACTTACATGTTTTTTTTTTTCCTTTTTCTTTTTTAAACTTTCTCTCAATTCTTGTCTCTTCTTTCCTTCCTTTCTTCCCTCTCCTCTCCTCTTCCCTCTCCACTTCCTGCCTGCCTGCCTTCTCGTCTGCCTGCCTTCCTTCCTTCCTTTCCTGTCTGAAATGCCCTACCACTTCCATCTCTCCAAATCCTAGCTACTATTCAGGGCCCAGCTTAAACATCACCTTTCCAAAGCCTTCCTTAGTTACCATGCGTGGAAGTTATTTACTGTAATTTCTGAATCACCATAGTAATTTGTATTTATTTAACATCCACATATACAAGCCCTATGTGCTAGGCTCTGTTCTAAGCACTTTTCAAATATTAATTCATTTGATTCTCACTAAGGTAAGTACTATTACCATCATCCCCATTTTATAGATGATTGTGTCTCTTATGGCATAATTTGCTGTTTACTAGCTACATAATCTTGGGCAAGTTACCTAAACCTCTGTCTTTCAGTTGCCTTATCAGTAAAATGAATGTAGTAGTAGTAACAGCATTGTGGAGATTATGCGAAGTAATGAAAGTAAGCATTTAATACAATGTTTGGCACATACTGAATATTCAATAAATGTTAGCTAATTTTACGTATTTTTATGTGCTGATAATGTAGCCTTGCTGGCTAAGTGATATCCCCATTTTACAGGTGAGGTAACACACAAAGAGGTTAAGTAACTTCCCAACATCGCATAGCTGGAATTTGAACCAATGTAATGTGACTTCAGAGACCTGCTCTTAACCACTACATTAATGGATGTTAATTATTATTATTATTTACCTTGCATTGCTTGGCATTATAATTATTTTTATGCTTATATTATTACCCTCTCAAAACCAAACATCCTAAAAGCTAAGACTATATCTTTAACTCTTTTGAAGAGCCTCTCCTAGTCAGTGCTCAATATATAATTGTCAATGAATAAATGATGGAAGGCTTTGCTTTTTTCCTGAGGAAATAACAGTTATTTATTTTAAGTAAATATCACAGACTTTTCTAGATATAAACATGAAATGTTCCTTTTAAAAACTTTTGAAAATGTATGCTCATTTATATTATATGATTTGACAAAAACTGAAAGTGTGTAAATGAAGCAGGAGGTTGTTTATTATAGTCTAGCTTGAGGCTATTATTAGTTTTCATTGTGCCAAACATTTTACGTGCAATGTAATGTAGTCCTCACAAATCCTTACTAGGAAGGTATTATTATCCTCATTTTACAAATGGGAAAACAGACACAGAGGGGTTAAATCATCTGCTCTGCACCACCATTTGTTAGTGCTAGACTAGAAATGAAACCCGGGATAGGGCTACTCTAAAGCCAGTACTCATAACCACCATGCTGGACTGCCTGGTTATCTGTTTCTCCTGAAAGTAGAGAGAGCCACTCCTACCTAATAGTGCTACAGAAAAAAGTATTTCATTTCCATATTTTCTTCACTGCAAGCATTGCTGAGGAGATGTGCAGGAGATATATTGAATGGAAAGAATTTTGAGGGAAAAATCAACACTAATAGGGCTGGATTTTAAAAACCGATGTATAACATAATACTACTCATGAAAAAAGAAGGAACAAACTACTAATACAACATGGATGAGTCTGGCAGACATTGAGTGAAAGAAGAAATATATAAAATCATATTAATGTGATTCCATTTATCTGCTGTTCAAGGCAGGTTAAACTAACCTGTGGGGATAGAAATGAGGACAGTGGGGGCTGGGGGTGGCATTGACTGGAAAGGGGTATCCAGGAACTTTCTGTGCTGATGGAAATGTTCTGTGTCTTGATATAGGTACACATTTGTCAAAACTTAGATTAAACTGTATACTTAGAGGCTATGCATTTCACAGTATATAAATTATACCTTGGAAGTTATAAAAATACAAAAAATTTTAAAAAATGAAATGATAGGGCTTCAGGTATGGGAGGTGGTGAGGAGTGAGAAAGGGGACTGGACTTGGCTTTGCCACTGGCCAATCCCTGGGTGCTACAGTGTTATACACTGGAAGGGTCCTAACCAATCATTTTTCCCCGTGGTGTTGTGCCCACCCTGGACATGAAGGCTTTTAAAACCAATCTTTTCCTAAGCCATTGAAAGGGAGGAAAAGTGTATCTCTTTGGTTGGGAGGATGGCAAAACTTAATGACTATTGAATTGGAATCTTCTTGAGAGAGGATCCTCTGTAGTCTAGACTAGAGTCTTCGAAAGTCTACACTGATTAGTACTGTTTATTATGTGGAAGGGAGAAGGGAGTTGACACTGGAAAAGCAGAATTGCAGGATGAACTATCCTAGAATGTCTAGTACTCTGTGGAGGTGTGAAGAAGGTGTCTTAGCACAAAGTCCTGGACCAGGTCACTCATCCATTCTGTGACCTTGCACAGGACACTGAACCTCTCTGGGCCACTGTTTCCTCAATTCTAGGCCTGAGAACCCTTAATATGCCCATCCCCATGGACTTATTTTGAGGTTTGATTAAGATTATAAATGTAAGCATGCTTTTAAAGTGCTCTTCCGTTAAGAAATAAAATGTTATAGACTTTTTTTTTTTAGAAAGAGAAGTGGTAGAAAGATCCCAGTAATGATGGTGACTGGCCTCTCATACAGACATTTCGGAATGAGCTTACACATTCCTGGTTGAAAAAACTGTCTGGCCAAAAAGATTAAATAAAGAAATGTCAAGTACTGAAACTCCATTTGAGGCCAGTGAATACTTTGGTGGCGAGCCAGGGTTATCTTGTTGGATTCCTTCTAAACTTGGCAGTAGAGTCCTCCAAACTCTTGAATGCTTTCTTCACACAGGTGCTGAGTAACAACTCACCCCAGATCTGAATGGGCCCCAAACTGCATAGGTCCTTGTGGCTTCCCTATTTTTCCTGACAGTCTTGGCAGTGGAGCAGCTGATCCAGCTCAAAGAAGGGATCAGAGGAAGAGCTTTGTCCCCTATCTCTAGGCTGGGACAAAATGAAGGCCAGTTTTGTCAGAGCAGAGTGGGCAGAGTGTGAAGCTTTGGGTCCTATTTGTGTGGCTGGGATTGAGGCAGGATGGCCAGGCGGATGATTTGATCTGACTTGGGTAATGAAAATTGTTTGTTACTGTTTGAAGAGTAATTGTGTAAGCAACAGTACTTCTGTGTTTGGCTGCCTGTGACTCACCAGTGTCTGTAACATAACACCAAAGCAGAGGAGGAGCAGACCCTGGCCTGCAGGGGAGGGGAGAGATGCAGGGGGCAGAGGGCCCCCTACTCATGCACCCCTTCTCCCTTTTCCACTGTCCCGCCCCCTCTCTAAACCTCGAAGGAGAGTTGGCAAGAAGGCATTTGCCACCTGGACACAATGAGGCCCAGTGCGAGGGGCAGGAGAGAGCTGGCTAGGAGCCAGGGCCTTGGTCTGAATGGCTGTTGCCAAGTGGCTGCCAACAGCCCATCTCAATCCCCAAGAGGCTGGGCCAGGGCTAGGGGGGTGGGGAACGCACAACCCCCACCTCGGAGGCCCAACTCACACCATTTGCTGACCGTGATCAGAATGTGCGGGACACAGGGGTTTTGAGCAGCTGAACAGAGCCGTTTCCCGGCTGCTGGCCGCCGGTTCCCTTGGATGAGAGCAGGCTCTCCAGAGTCCCTTTGTTGGCTGCTTGTTATTCCGCACGCACTGAGCACTGTGCATTCATCTTTATTAGTTCTAATTGCTTCCCCATTCTAATGGGATCTTGATATTCCCATACAATTGAAAGGAAATGTATTCATTAAAATAATTCTCCTAACTGCTGCTTCAAGCTGCTCCTCTAAGTGACATTGTCTCTCTAACCACAGCCTGCTGAGGCCTCTTATTAAGACTATAGTCAAAAGCCAACTTTGGGCGGCAAACTTTCTTTGCAGGAGTTTCCAGACACTGAAGAGAGGATGCTTTTAAATCGGCTCACACACAGAAATTGGAGGCAGCTGGTGTAATTGGGGGTGCTGCTTCGGGTGGATGGAGGGAGAAGGGCTCGCCTCCAGCTCTGCCTCCTGCAACAATGACCCTTTTCTGCACTCTGAGTGGCTGGCTTGGAGAGGGCTTTTCCCCTGTCATGTGTGTGAAA